TTCAGATGAAAAATGAAAGCTCTATGGAGAGCTGGCAAGAGCACCACTGTCCATATCTCTCTTCATTTCTGCCTGACAGAGCACTGATGCATCATATCACAGCAAATATCTGAGTGCCAAACACAGCCCCTGTTGCACCAAAAATGCACTTGTACACAATCTCTGAATTCCAGCCTGGCCACTTCAGACTCTCATCTCATTTAAGGGACAGGGGGGAAAAAAAATATATGACTGCACTTTTAATATCCATCATGAATTACCAGACTCATACCACCATATATAGATATGTAATCCTAATAGAGGTATTTATCCTGCTTATTGATTCAAACTCAGAAACAAAATTCTGGAGCAGAAACTGTCTTGTTTTATTGTTCAGTGATGGACTGATTTCTTGCATTAGACCCATATTCTCTGACAAACATCACAGCACTCTCAGCTCTGCAAAATGAAGTCCATATTTGTCTCATGTACAGAAAAAGCTTCCTTTAAGAAGTGCCAAATGGTTTAAACTGTAGTTTCCTGCACAAAGTTGGCACATGTGGTGCTGTGGAATCTGTGTGCTGTGCTTCCCAAACCACTTCCATTTTTATCACCCACAATTTTAAGGCAATGTCAACCATCTGTATGCCAGGTTTCCCAAAATCATTTCTTATTTAAGTTTTCATGACTGACAAGAGGCAACAGAGACTCAAGGAAAGCACCAGCTTAAGCAAAGGCCACTGGATACACAGATTTCACTCCCCAGGTGATAAAAGCAGTGTACAGCACAAGAAAGGTGCCAGGGACAACCACAGATAAAACTATGGGAAGCCACTCTCTCAATTGCTCTTTAAGGAAACCAACATGTTATAAGAAGCAATAATACTTCTTCAGCCAGGTAATATCTTTCCATGCTAACTGTAATACACAGTTTACAAAATATTACAAGGAACTGAGTGGTCAACGTAAAGCAAAAGTGGTTTAATATTATAATTTTTCTTTTTTTATTAATTTTTTAAAAAGAGAGACTCTATTAAACACAGTATGTGTTTGTAAAATAAATATGAAGGGAGGAAAGTGATTTCCTCCATATGCTAATCCCATGGTTTTCCTGATGTTCAAAGGGGACCAAACCATCACCTATTCTCTTTTCTCCTCACTGATACAACCAATGCATGCAAATAAATAAAGATGCTCACATCAGAACAAATAAATATTATTCAGCGAATAAAAGCTTATTCTGAGGCTAACAAAGGATATCTAGAAAAATTATTGAAAAAAAATTAAAAAGTAAATAAAGTAAATACAAGACCGTAACTTAAAATAAACCCAGACATCTATTGCCTTGACACTGTTCTCAAGGCATTGTGAAAATACTTCTGTCTTGAGATTAAGTGATTCATTATCATATCCAAAGAAATACATTAAACTGTAAAAGGGGGAAGAAAAAAGTAAGTGTTGAAGAGTCTTTGCCTTGAAAATATATGTCAACAGCTCCTCCCAGTTTTGTGTCATCTGAAAACTTGCTCAGTATCCCCTCCAGTCCTGCATCCTGTCATTAGGTGTTCTGTACTAGCACCCAGGAGAAATGTTCCCCAACCACAATGGGGCCAGGAAATGAGATGCTGAAACCCAACCTGAAGCAAAGACAGGTCCCTGTTGCAGAACAATCAGACTCCAAGACAGAAGCAATATGAGGTACACTAAGTCTCTCGACAAGTTTTTTGGCAAGGGAAAGCTAAAGGGACATTTAGCTGCAGTATTTTCTTAAATTTAATTCTTCTGGGTATTTTAAACTATGTTGCAGTTTTGTGCTTAGACTTAAGGAAACCAAGCCTTTTTGCTATCCAACATGAGCTCTTACCTGCAGCAATGAGCTGTCAGGTTCAAGTACTTTCATTATTTACTGGCAGCATTTTAAATTCTCACTTCCTATTAGAAAACCTGACGATCAATAATGCTAAAGGATGTACTCTCATTTAACAAACATCTTCGAAACTGTGCCATGCAAGTGGAAAGCTTTCTGAAATCAAACACTCTTCCAGCTAACATGGGTTGGACTGATTGATGGTTGTGTATAAAGTCCACCACGTCATTTTAAATACAGTAGAAGTGATCAAATTTATAACTGAAAAAGTTTAGTAATCTACTAAGTTATCTTCAGGAAAAATAGCAGTCATCATCCATACCATCTCTTTCTTTTGTTAATTCTTACAAAGAGAAAAATCCAAGTCAGGTTTGAAAAAAAAAGAAAATATCTCTGAAAGAAACCCAAAAAAGAAGAAAAAAAGGAGGAAAAAAAAGGGAGGGAGAAATCTGAATGATATGTGCACAGGTAAACCTTCATATTATATAGAACGTGAATATATTTTGTCACTTTTAAAACTAGCTCACAAAGTTTCTTTTATTTTCTTTGGAAACAGCTGATTATTTTAGATAAAGACCAACATTTCTTCTCCAGCTTTAAACATTTGAATAAGTATTAACTTTGGTGGGAAGCACATAAAATTGTGGACTCAGTTTCAAGCAAAAAAATGAAATGAACCATAAAAACTTCTGCATGTTAGAGTTTTTCTTATTGAAGAGTATTCCAGAAATAACTACATGGGGATGGATTTGTAGTAGGGGAGCTTTCAAAGAAGGAAGAAATAACATGCTTGGAAGATAAAGCCAGAGAAATTCAAAGATCAATATATAAAATTTCATTAAAGAGAAGCAGTTAAATACCAGGCCTTAACTAAGAACACTGATTCATCCAGCACTTGAAATCCTTAAACCTTGCTTTTCATTTTTCAACAAAACACATTCTAGACTCTGAAGAAGCTGCTTACAGCAGGAGCCACTTTTTCAGTCTCTATTCCTATCCCTTCCCAGGGGGTGAAGATGATAAAAATTTCAGATAGATACAAATTATCCTATTTCAAGTAAGCCTAAGTAAGTAGCTATTTATTTTCTGCTAAAATTATCCTGTGCAGAGTTCACTTACCCAACCAATATCTAAAGAAAGTGCCAAATGCTCCCCTTCAGCTCCACAGTAATGAATCTGAATATTAAGTTATATATTTCATTCTCCGTGCATATAATGCCATCACTGCAAGGCCATCATGCCAGGAAAGAAAATAGTACCCTATCCTAAGTCTTAAAAACAAAACTAGAAGCAGAAAGCAGAAATGCTGCTTTGCAAGAGTATTCCTTGTTTTGTTTATTATCCAAGGTATTGATCTCATTAACTACAATGGGTACTTTCAAAAAAAATGCAAAAACAAACAAGTCTATTCAAATTTTTTCTGTGTTTATCAGAAACACTAAACATTTAATAAATCCTTAATTATCCCCACTTTTTCTTTAATTCCTATACAAACACATACTCTAATAAGCCAAATACTGATTCTTTCCCTTTTTTGCACTATTGGACTTCATTGTTTCTTTGGCAAATAAACACAGGAAAACACCTAACTGCAAGCTTAGAAGTTGTCATATTGACTCAGAAAACCACCACTGCAGAAAGACTGGATATTAGTACAGCTGTACTGTTAATAAAACACAAGGCCTTTCTTTATTAAATAGTATTTCTAATATCATTTTGAAGTGATGGAAAAGTTCATAGCTGTAAAATCTCACAGCTTTTAGACTACATTGCTTACAGCCTCCATTTTTTGCACAATAGTAATAAAATTATATTCTACTGTATGAGTTTCTTAAGGTAGGTTTTGAAGTCCAGAAAAAAAAACCTGTATCCAAGGAAGGGTTAAGCATCAAATTCTACATTTCTTTTTACACATCCAGAAATCTCATAAAAGAAGCTTTTATCTTACCACAGGCTGTACAACAGAGTTCAAAAAATACAATAAACTACATGTTTTATAGCATCAACAATATTCAATATAACTCCATCCATTACCTTTTAGTTTTATTGCCCTGAAATTTGAAATTAATACTACATGCATAGAGTTTTATGCACATGTTATGAACAACTACTAGTGTTCTTAGTAACAAGAGTAATGGATAGAACTGGCATAAGGATCTTCTTCCAACTGTATTTTCACTGGAATAACTGAGGGAAGAGCAGGGCAGGAAACTAAACTGAACATCCCCTCTCCTATCTCTTAGCTACTGGATAACAAATAATATCAGAGCAGGCCCTGGAAAAAAAAGATTGACCCCAACAATCAGTTGTAGTTACAGTTGAATGCCAACGTTGATTAATATAATTGAAGAATCATTTCCCATCCAAAGTTATTCTGAATTTACATACAAAGTGACTAGATTTCCAGACTCCTGCCTTCCACAGAGCATCCTTAACAATACTATATTTTGCACAAAGCCTCTTGTCATTCCTTTGATTATAACACCTGGAGTATGTAACACAAAGACCCAACTGTACTGACACAAAATAGATGGTTGCTATTGTGTTACTTGTACATTCCTTCAAACAGAAAGAATGTGAACAACCCACTTGATCAAGAGAAATGGAGGTCAACAAGTTGAAAAAAGAGTTGGAATTTGTTTACTTTTTTACACTAAAACTCCTTCATTTGGGGGGAATCTGCATACCATTTATAAATAATTTAATAAATTAGAACACCACGTACAATTCGTAGACATCAGAAAGTGACTATGAGCTGTACAAGCATATTGAAATATTCAAGAATCTATTCCAGACGCGTAGAGAACCAGTTCTCAAATCCCAAAGTTCAGATATTAATAGATTTGATCTTCTTGTGAATATATAAACAAGATCTAGTTCTTAAAAAATCCTTCATCACTGCTTCCAGCTGAGTCAGGAGCATAAACAGATAATTTCGGTGTGTTTCTACTAGAAGGAGCTTTAAAATTAGAAAGCCACTTCAAAAATTAATGAAACAGACATGATTCAGAAGCAAAAGGAAAACTGGGACACTGGCCAGCTTCAAGGGAGTTTGAAATTTTAGCGGATTCTCTCTCAGTGTCTGGATAACGATAACAGTCAATACTGGAAATTATTACCAACTTTCAAATTACATGAGAGCTTAAACACTTACCATTAATCCATTTGGCTTCTGGATTATGAACTATGAAGTCTTTCCTGAAGAGATCTTCCAAGGATAACCTGTTTTCTGATGAATTTGCGAGTTCATCTAAAGCAAACATAACAAGATCATTTTAGATATTTATTAAAAATTATACATTCAGTGTTGTTTGCAAAACATTGCAATTATAGAACAAGACGTCCTGTCGAAATCGATACCAATAGGTTGCCTTTTTTTTTTCTTTTTTTTTTTTCTCAGTAAGAAAAAGAATCGTTTTTCTTCAGTAAAGCTTCAGGAAACAAATAATTGGTAGCTTTTAGACAGGACAACCACAGGATGTAGTGCTTGGCTATTTATTATATAGGGATTGTAGTGGCAGAGCTCTTTCTTACCACAGCCCCACACTGCAAGTAAAGTCTGATTACAAACCAATACAAAAATTTCCTGAGAATTAAAGGATGTTGGACATATTGATCACCTTATACTGACAGAAACTAAGTAAAAAACTCCTGTAAGTAAATTTGGAACCAATTTCACCTATTCTACAAATAAAAATTCGAGGGGAAAAAAAAATCTACATGCACATTTTATAGCCTAGGCTTGCCAGTGACAACAATATAACATTTGGCTAACAGCCTTGTGTTTTTCCCAAACATGACAGCACCCAGGAATATCGTGCTTCTGAACATTAGCCAACACTGACATTCAAAACAAAAAAATAAACTGCCTGCATCTAAAATCATCCCCATGCTTCAGAAAAGAAAAAAAGCTCTGCTAAATTCCACTTTCCTTGTGCTGTCGGCCAAATAAATAAGTAGCAAAGATTCAATTGTGAGCTGTTACAGTATCATGTGAAATCAGAGGTACTATTAAAACAAAAAGCTTTAGCCTCAAAACACAAAACAACAAAGTTTCCTTGAATAACCACGTAATGAACAGCAGCTCTGCACTTCACCTGACTTCTCTAGAACATTTAGAACAGCAGCTGTCAAAAGCTGCTCCATGTGTTGCCTGTGCCCTAGCAAAAATATGCACCTATGAACTTCCTACACAACCAACCACACCAATGCCCAGGCTGCTTTTTTTAGTAATTCTGTCATTATTGGGCAGATTACCATAAATTACTGCAGTTATTTCTCCACTCTCTGAGCTTTTCCCTCACATCCTTCCTTCCATCCACCTTCTCTATGTAAGGAACTTTTTGTTAGTCAGATTTTGTCCTTCCTGATATTAAACCTTCTCTGATGACAGATCCAGAGAAAAAGAGTATCTAAAATCACAGCAGTCACAGCAATCATTGTGTCAACCCAATGTTACCAGCACTTTTTTAACAAAGAAATGTCCTTTGTAAAGGTCGTATCCTGAAAAACATTTTGGATGAAAACAGGATCCTTCACAGAGAACAAAGTAATTATAGTTTCATTATTGGTCTTTATTCAGCCAAATTTCTCAATTAGAAGCTCAGCTGAAAGCTTACTGGAATCAACAGCAATAATATATTTTTCCCTTTAAACATCAGCACTGCCTGCTGAAACCACTTCTGCTGGTATTAATAAGGTGCATCCTTGCTGTATTGAAGAGAAACTCCTTTTTAATGCACATCATAAATTTACAGTAGACACAAGGCCATCACAGCTGCTCATGCCACGGCACTGCTGCATTTTCATGGTCCCAGGTCGCAGCAGGGACCCTGTAAACACCATAATCAACTCTTCTTGCACTTGGTGTCTCATAAGGCTAAGCATGCAGAGTTGTTCAAATCCTCCCTCGTAAGACAAACATTGTAATCCTTAAATAAGCTTTTTGCCCTCTTCCTACCTTCCAAGGATCAAAATACCCTGTTTGGGTTTGTATTTTCTTTATTCTACAAGTCCAGCATGGGACACAATATTCCACCTGCAGTCTTACTAGAGCTTTACAGCAGAGTAACATTATCTCACTTGATTCATACCTAATCCCTCTGTTTACACATCATGGGACCTTGTTAGCTCTTGCTCCTGCCACACACTGAGTTTTTATCTTCAAAGTAAGCACATGTTTTTATATATGCTCTGCTAAGCTCCAAAATACATTCCATGTCCTCAAAATACTACTTCTAACTTAACAACATCAAATATTGGGCTCTTCACACACCCATTTTCCCCTTTTTCCATAACCTTGCTGACTGCCTACCCTCAACAAGCTGTTTTCTATCACCTATTTTGATTCAACACACTCTGGTCCTGATGCTGTTTATGATTCTGAACGGATCTCCCTTCTAACCTTTCCCGAGTCTGCTCCTACTTATTGTGACCCCTTGTATCCTGCCAGTTTGCCAACCAGCAATCAAGCTCACACAAGCTGTTATGTTGCCAAAAATTGTCTTACCCAAGACAGAAATTTTTTTTAACTGCTTTAATAAAAATCACTAAAACAATACATCAGCTGTGTACAGAAATGCTATCTGAGAAGAAAAGAACACCAGCTCTGCTCTCTGTACTCTGATTCACATGCCTGCCAAGAAAACATGATATAAATTGGATTTAAATTTAAGTTTTTAAATTACTATTAGCATTTCTAAACTGGGATCTTCGTGAAACTCTACTAGATGTTTGAAAAGTAATTTTTCTCTTAATGCTAAGTCTTTAAAATAGAGCCCTGTTTGAAATCCTTGACACTAACTTTTCACTGTGTCAATATCTCAAAGGCTCAGTTTATCTATAGCATGATGAATTGCACATCATGTGAAATGATGTGCAAAAAAACCACTACACTGGGTTAAATTTTCTTGAGCACATACATTTCATATGTACTTCACCATGTTTATACTCACAGGCAGGGCAGAACAGAAGGGGGATCACCCTCTGTGTGTCAGTGAAACCTGGGATGAACAGAGCTCCTCCTGGGGATGGATGAGTAGCCAACTCAGAGCTTACGGGTCAGAATTAAAGAGAGGATAGGGATACATGACCTTATACCACAAAGATGCTCAGAGGGCTGGAGCACCTCTCCTATGATGACAGGCTGAGAGTTGGAGTTGTTCAGCCTGGAGAAAAGAAGGCTCCAGGGATACCTCAGAGCACCTTCCAGTACCTAAAGGGTTTCCAAGAAAGCTGGAGAGGAACTTCGAACAATGGCCTGGAGTGACAGGACAAGGGGGAATGGCTTTAAACTGAAAGAGGGCAGGCTTAGATTGGATATTAAGATGAAGTTCTTCCCTGTGAGGGTGGCGAGGCACTGGGACAGTCTGCCCAGAGAAGCTGTGGATGCCCCATCCCTGGAAGTGTTCAAGGTCACGATTGATGCGGCTTTGAGCAACCTGCTCTAGTGGAAAGTGTCCCTGCCCATGGCAGGGGGTTGGAACATGATCTTTCAGGTCCCTTTCAACCCAAACTATTCTTTGATTCTAGTATGTGCTTGTATTTTTTTTTTTAAAGACTGTCTTTTACCACTTTGTATTTATTACCAAATTACAAAATAGCCTATTATCTTTTTCATTCTTGTTGTAACTTTTACTGAATTATTCCTTGAAGGAATCATATTTCCAATAGTCCTCACACTATTTGCCACAGATTTCTATTTCATTCTGAAATTATATATATATTTATACATATAATGACACAGATTTTAGAAGATACAAACAAAATCAAACGTTAAAAACTAAAAGGCTATTTTTTAATGGTACATCCAACTAAAAATAGTTCAACAACTGATGTGTATTAATTCCAAATGACAAACCTGTTTATGCTTACTAAACCAGAAGACTGTAGAAGTAGAAATCAGTAGCCTTGTTACTTCTCATGAGTTTATAGGATATTATTTCTGCAGGCTAAAAGTAGTCTACACATCTCATAAAATTTACCTTCTAACTTAGCAAATAAAACTAATTATTATGTTGTGCAGTATATCATTAACTAAAGGTCTCTACTGACTTTTCTGTGGAAAGAGTGTTTTCATGCTGGAAATTAGGATAAAGGCTTCATGTTAAATTCCATGGAAGAACACCACTAGTAAACTGTATGCAAGCTAACAGGTATACTGATAACTGGGAATTAGTCTAGTTCACATTGTGTTTGCATGACAAAGGAAAAAAAAAACTTGCCATAAGTAGCCAGATATGAAAAGCTGATTGCCAATGGACAGTACAGGGAGTCTATACAGCATTGACCAGAAACCTGAATCTTCTGGCTGTGATTCTCCACATCACAGAAAAAATGTTTACTTCATTTCTATTCATTTAAGAGTAATATGAGAGATGGTATTGAAGGGTTGGTCCTAACACTGCCCTAAACAGTTTTTCTCTTGTATATAACCCAAATGGATTCTCTTCGCTTCTCAAAACATTTCAAAAAGAGCATTTTCTGCCAGCTTGGCTGGCCTAAATGTTCTCTAAAGGAATTTTTCTTTAAAGTTGTCCTTTTTTTTTCATCATGTGACAGCCAAGCAAACACTGAGTGTTCTCTGAGTCTGTGATTAGAGGTACATGCCACTTTGCTCAACAGTAAGTACATCTATCAGCAGGGATGATTTAAATGCTCATATCAATGTTTCGGTAAAGAAGTCCTGGGTAAAGCATTCGAGTCTGCCACATCTTCAGAAATTGTAAGTTAACATGAAGGTAGAACTACTGTCAGTCCCTAAATGAAAAGTGTTGTGGCAAAACACCTATAAAAGGGTAGAAACGTTTGCACAACACTTAGACCACTCTCAGGTGATTTTTCATATAAAAGCTTTCAAGTGCTAATCCTTCCAATTGAGCATTTCTCAGTTTTGAAATACAGATCCACAGTGGTCAATCAGACAGGTCTTCCTACAATTCCTGCAATGGGGAACATATTGTCATGATGCAAAGCAAAAAGAAGAAAAAATGTTGATTTAAAGGCAGGAGTGATTTAAAGGAACTGATCTCTAAAAATCTACCTATCGATATTTCAGTATGTGCAGGTATGTGATGAAACTTTGAAAACATGAAATAGAATACCAGCAGAACAAGAAGGATATCTTTGTTATATTTATACTGACATAAACTAAGTGCTGGCATGTCATAAGCAGCTCTTTCTCTTTCTGCACTGGCCACTAATTCCTACTATAAAGCTATATTTATAAGATTATTCACAAGGTATTTTCTTTTGTTTTGTCCTAAATACTTCTCAAGCAATCAACTCCAAATACTAAATAAAAATAACTAGATCCATAATTAAGTTGCCCTAGAGGATGAACAGGCTCCCTCTCTGAAACTCCCAATTTTTTCCACACTCCAGTTCCTTGCTTTAATAAGAGTAACCTCGTTCTTTTGTATCTTCATGCACTTTCTTTAGCCTAGCACTTATTTAATTTTGAAGAAAACTAGCAGGGATATTTGTCTTCTACTCCCAAGTATGGAGCAGTGTAGCAATTTCTACTTGATGGGTGCAATGGGGTTTATTTAATGTACTCCTTATTCCATAGAGGATGTCCTTACTCCATTCAGACTCTGCCACTGATGTCTTATATCACTGAATGGTCTGGTCTTCCATTCTTCCATATCTTTGTTGAGAAACACTGAGACGTTTATAAAGATTCAGAGTATTATTATAGATTAAAAGCAAGATAAAAATGTACCAAAATATTACTAATACTGTTGGTAAAATTTACCAAAACCACAACCATAATTACAACACAGATGCTTCAGATTTGAACAGAAGCTAAGATATTAGCAGGTTAAAATACATCTCTTATTTCAACACAGTTCCTGCTTTCTGTTGCATGTTCAAGTTATATTTCATGTAATAAAATATACTAAAAAAATTAACAACAAAAAAGAAATAATTTCCTTTTAGTTTTAATACCATTTCCATATTTACTGGAAGCTAGAGCCTCTCTGAAGCCTTTTGCATATAACTTACACTTTCTTTTAAAAACTTATTATCTCATATGGAAGCAATGATCCCTCTACTAAAAAAGCAGGAAAGCTGTTGCTCAAAGTTTGAGAGAATTCAAATGACAGCTGTTAGTGTACACAGACCTAAGAGTTTCTTATATTGCAAACAAAACAACGTATAAATAACTGTAGGCAAAAAAGAGACATTGCTGTTGTATTTGTCATATCAGTAAACACACTTCTGCCTCAAAAAAAACACAAAAAAAACCCCAATCAGGCTTCTGAGCAAGCACCATCTGAAATGATTATCATCTCCATAAAAAGAAGCAGCACGATGTACAGTGTTTAGGGGAATTTACATGAAATCTAAAAAGCACCCGTCCGTGCAGGCAGAACTAAATAGGGAAAGAACTCTCTGATGCTCAAAACAGTACTAGAAATAATAAGCAATGCACTCTGAAGCATCCCAAGGTAACACAGGACATAATTCCCCCTATTTCACTGAAGATCTAAATTCAGACCTATTATATTTTATGAGAAGAATTTGCAAACCCAGGTATTTATAGTAACAGATTAGTAACACCTTAGAACTGAGCACCTTGCAACAGCCAGATCTGTGATGGGGGTCTCCAAATTTCTCCTCCCCCCAAATGCAAGCATCCCAAAGTGATCTTAACTGCTTTCATGACAAAATAGCTTCAGCTATAGTTCTTAAAACCTGCCAGCAGACCAGCAGAGTATAAAAATATTTTCTTCCAAAAAGATAATAATTAATAATGAAATTGAAGGGGGAACAGCACTGATTAGGGTCAAAACAGGGAAAGCAGTTGTCCTACAATGTGCCTCCAAAGCTTTCTTTGGTAAGCATTTCCAACCTGCAAGAAAGCCCAGTTTTAGAGACCTGGATCATTCTGGGAAAAAGGTTTTTATTTATATCAAGTTTTACAGTCTCTATCGGATATCTTGGAGAATCTGAGCTGACAGAACTAGTTTTCACTCGCATGGCTTGAAATGAAATGTAGGTCCCAGATTATGCAAGTTTCCAAGCAAGCTCTCTGAATTTTGAAACAGCCTTGGAGGTGTTGTAATTCACTGAGCTTTTTTAACATATTTTAAACAAAAAGTTAACATTTCCCTAGGTTGTTTATTCTTTTTCCATGGGTGCCTTCAAAGACTTCAGTTTATGTTTTTTACATCACTAATAATTCTCTATAGATACAGGAGCCACAACTGATCTTTACTATTGTAGATTCCAGCATAACATTTGATTTTTTGCAAGTCCTCCAAAAAAGTTACCTCTCCTTGAAACAGAAAACATTCTCCTGTCTTAAAGTGTACCGGGAGACACTACCATTTGCTCTCAAAATCTCTTTTCTATTATTCCCTGAAGAAACTCCTATACACTGAGACTACTTTGCTTTTATTTTTCTCAAAATATTCAATGGGGAAAAAGGCAATCACTTTGGACAGCACCAGGCATATGTAGCAGATATTTACACAAAACAGAAGTAGTAGAACAGTCCATAGTATCCCTATATACTCTCTACAGCTGTGTCGTTCCCTCTGCCAAGGGATCCTTTTCCATTCAGTCTCACCACCTTCAAGCAGCAGTGATCTGGTGCTGCACTTCCTCATACACAGACCCAGCAGGCTTCCCTTGATGGCCAAATAGTATGGAATCATTGTTTAACTAAAAAGTACTTTAATAATCTTTTGGTTTACACAACTGGGGCACTCCAATGGCAGAACATATTCAGACCAATATTTACCTTCTAGGCACGCCATCCAAATCAGGCACTTTACATTGTAACTTTAAAACTGACAAAATAATTCAAAGGTATTTTTTCTTTAAAACTTGTGCAGTGTTTCCTTCTCAGGTTCTAAGACACAGTTAAATGGTTGCTGACCCAGTATTAAAAAGAAAGTCTTTGGAAAAATAACTCCAATCATACTAGAACTAAAAAAAAAAAAACAAACCAAAACAAAACAAAACAAACAAACAAAAACACCACCGCACACCACTATAATGATTTTATAAGTCTAACTGCTCTTTTTGTCTAATACTTGTACTCTCCTTTTTTTTTCCTGTGACTGAACCCCTCTTTGTTTTTTCGCGAAAGACAAGGGAAGAAGCTTGTGCATGTACATATGAAAGATGCATGTTCTGATTCAGTGAGAAGTTTCATTCTGGGAATTTGTTTCCCATGACACACAGCTTTCTCTTAGCTCATCAGTGAATCTGAAATTACAGCCCAAGTGGCAAAAGGCTCACACCTGCTGGGGCTAATGAGGATTGCTCGTAGCCATCCCAAGTCTGACACAACCTAAGGACCTACTGCCAAACCCAAGAGCTTCTGCTCCACAAGGCCTCCAGTAACTGTTGAGTCCCTGCAGGCACGAAATTTGTAGTAGCCACAAGCTAAAAACGCTCAAGGGCAAGAGATACTTTAACAATCATATGTAACTTTTAATGACTGCATTATGAATCATTCACCTTTAATAAGATAAAATAAAGAAGTAGGTTACCTGGGGTTAAAAGAATGACTGACATAGTGATGAGTGAACAAACAACTAGAATCACCAGCAGCGCAATAGCAATTCCCTTCCAGTTCCTCTGCGGAGGGCTGTTACTTCCAAGTTCCTACAGGAATGGAAAAAAATAAAATAAAAGGAGAAGACCATGTTTCACAAACATACATTTCTAGAGCTATTAGTGATAGGAAAATTGCTCAGTGCATACTCATAATCACAGCATGGGAGGTGCTCATGATCCCTCCCTTCTCCACAGTACACGGAGTCATCCAAAGGTGTGTAACTATTACGCTTTTAATAGATCCCTCTCTTTTTTTAAATATATATATTTAATTTTATACCCCTAAGAGACAATCAAATGATCTGATGCAAGCTGTCCAAAATGCAACCTGTGTTCAAATGTGCTGAACATAAACTTCAGGACAGTATCACTAGCAGTTTATAAGATAATTACAGAAATGAAATGTAGCAATTTACTGTAATTCTACCTAACATGGTATGGACCATAAAGGTTTAAATACACATCCTTTTTAATGTACGCTATTAAACTTATTTGTAATAGAAAACATTAACAAAACTGCCTGAGGCTGCAAATATTCCATCTGAAGCTACAAGCTCTTTTTCCCTATACAGTAAATCAACTGTTAACTGCTCCCCTATTAGTTATAAAAAAACAACAGTAGCTTATAACAAATGTTAAATGGATGCTTCTGTAACTACTAGTGCACTTAAACCTACATCCTTTGTGGTTACATGTTTACCTCCTGCCAGGCACCATTTAGGTTTGTCAGTAATAGCAATGCATTGTCTGTGTTCACGGTACAGTTTAAAACCAAACAGCATGTAAACATCTAACAAAAGAATGACAAAAAGAGTACAATTGTTTCTTACAACCCTAACTTTCCCTCACAGAAAACAATATTTTTTTTCTATCTATATCTGGAAAGCATAAATGTTTCTCTGTCACAATCACCCATACTTTTAGTATCACAAAATTAAATGCTACGGCAAGATTGTGAAAAAAAGAACCTGGGAGGAACCTGTGAGAAGATCCCACTTCATCCCACTTACAAAGGTGAGGTATTTATACAAGCGCTCCAAAATCAGCACAAGCTCCCACTAAGCTCCAACTAAATACCAGGTGGAGTGAAAACATGGCTTTAGTTCGCACTTGCCCTTGAAGACAACAGCGTGTAAATGCCTTTCTTCCCCTCCCACTGCCAGGACATGCACTAGCAGAGCCCTTCAAGGCTGCCTTTCCAGTGAATGCACAGGGAATGTGCCACGAAAGATGAGAGATTATGTGGAGTCTCTCCTATTTGATCCTCAGTACTGGTTTTGTTAATCCCGTGACACACACCGAGAATGCTCCTTCATTTTTTCTGCTGGGCAAAAGGGCAGAGGGATGAGGACAGCCACCTCAGCCAGCTTGTTCTATGGGGAGGACTAAGTTGCAGGAAAGCAACTTAGCACCTCCTTGCTCTGTTTTATAAGCTTCCAAAAGCATGTCGAAACTTTTTTCACATACACATTATTTCATTTTGCTTTTCTGAGTTATAATGAGTGTGAAATGGAGAAGTCTTAACAGAAAGTGGCAATGCTCTTGTGACTTCTTAGCTGGCACCCAAAACCTCAGCACCACACATCTCCCACAACAGCAGCTCCAACACTGTCTTTAACTTTTTAATATCTTTTTATCCCCTCAGATGTTCATTTCTGTCTGTAAAAGACAGTTTCTCTCACTCATCCTCTTTTTCAGAAAAGACAAACACATGAAGACCAGTCCCTCCCACACTGAACTCTGTTCAGTTTTCCCGGGAATCACCGTGCAAAAGAACCTGATTACCACCACCAACCAGTGGGTTGGTCTTTGATATTAGTAGGTTTTTAACTGAAGATCAGGACTCCTGTCCTCAGCTAGGAGGGGGAAAATGGTGTAAGCAGGAACTCCTGGTATCCATCTCTGTTCTCCATCCCATTGCCCCTGCTTCCCAGCCCCACACAAGCCTGCCTGTTTCCCCCATTTTTTTCAGCTCCTTCAGATTCCCTCCTACCCTGTGAAACATAAATTATCACAGCAGCTTCCTGACAAGCCTTAAAGACCAGGTTTTCAAGGCCTGCATGATGGCTTCATGAGCCTCTTTGGTGATCCTGAGGATATGAGGATTGCATGGTTCAATCCTTTTTGGACAGCCCTGACCATGCTGACATTGCAATGATCCACAGCCTTTTCACAAAAATACAGAACTTCTGAGTCCTGCATTTAAATTCATACCCAAGCTATTATTTTCCCTTAAGTAAGAATTATTTAATGTTAATAGCACAGTCTAGAAAACACAAACTTACTCTAAACATAACAGTATTAGCCTTATTTATATGATATTTGACAGATAAAAGAACCAAGTGGTGGTGAGAAAACAGTAGTTTCCCTCTGAGCATCGTGAAACCCTATTCCAAAGGATTGACTTAAAATGACAGAAGCTGCATAACTTGATGGATGTACCAAAGCCTCTAAAAATTGTACAAATTCCTCATTATTCACAAGGTTCTTCTCTACAGACATGACTATTGTTCAGTTTCTAAAAATAAGGCTTCATTCGAAATACTTGTGCAAATTTTTGCAACGACAATAGCAAACAGTTGAATCAAGTGTTGATCATACAAAGCTTACAGGTACCCCACAGTGAGAAAGAAGAGAGCTCTCAGATAGCTGAAATCTTGGAAACTGGCATACAAAGAACTCATCTCCCATTAAAGTACTTGGTTTCAATATTTGGATAAAATTTATGAGTTGTATCAAGTTCTTGTATTAGAATTTATAAAAGGTCATGATGTTGTTTTTTTAATTGAGTGACAACATTCTTGTAAGACATTTATGAAGTTATTGTACACAAATATATACAATATTTGATGAAATATTAGAAAATTACTATAATAAGATGAATTCACAGTACAATTAGTATGAAGGATATCTGCAATCAACTCATTTGATGTTAACCAATTTAACTCTTGGATTGTAACCTACAAAGTTTTAAAACAGAGTAAGCTGCTGTTCTTCAACAATAAAATAGTTTAAGCCTCACACTGCCTTTAAAAATGGTCATAAGCAAAAGGTAGATAAATAGATGTTTGGACTGTGGCAAGAGAGAAGCTGTCCTTTTTGAGAGTGACTAGAAGATAGAGGCATTCAAAAAGAAACACCACAGAGAACCACACAATGAGAAGGTTTTGACATCACAGTTTCCCCATAACTAACTGCAAACTGGCACATAACAACTGAACACACAGATGGAGATTTAAGGATCTAATCTTCTAAATAGGCTCTTCTATTAATGTGGTTTGAAAAATACCTACTCTTGAATATGGTGGTTTATATATAACACTATATGTTATGTTATTATAGATTTTACAATCCACCTCTAATGAATCAGAAAATGGCTGCTCAAAGCATAATGCAATTGCAAGTTTTCTCATTATTTAAAGTAGCTTTTTCACAAACCATTTAATTGCCTTGCTGCCAAAAAAAATCCTTATGTAATGTATATTTCTGAATGTAATTTGTGATTAATATCTTAGTAAAACACAGCTACAAAGAGAAAAATTAAATACTGCATGCACAAAAAACTGTACACCAACGCTAGAGAACCTAATACCTACTCCTGATAAATGCTAAAGACCACATTTACCAAGAGTTTTTATTTACCAGTATGAGGGAACTCGGCACATATAACCAAATGGACATTGTAGCCTAAGAGCCTAAAGTTTCTGTTTTGTGATTGTCTCCATTTAAGATCTCTTGAAAAAACCTAAAAGAAAAGACTGGTCTTAAAAAACATGTACTACATGTATGATATAACCTTATAGAGGTTGCAAATTCTGCAGCAGTAACCAAAAGAAAGACTAAAACAAAAACCTGCAGACTGGAAGTGAGAGTGATGACAGGTTGAGGCTGTCAAAGGAAAACATGAGTCATCTCAACCCTTTAGCATCCTTCTATGTTAAATCCCACTCACCACTGCAAAACAAGGTATTTCAGTGGGAAATGCTGAAAAAAATATACCCAGCAAACACACAAAGCAAATATAAGTCAAATATGCTGAAGCATTTTTCTCTCTCCTTTTCTAGGCTGATTTCCAAATATATACTCCCTCTCCAAACAGACCTTACAGACTGATGACAAACTGATTCACTACAAGTATAAAAATCTTTTAAGCACTAGCAAGATATGGCTTTGAATATCACAGTCTGGGGCATAGAATCATAAAATGGTTTGGGTTGTAAGGGACCTTAAAGATCATCTCATTCCAACCCCTCTTGCTTAAAGCCCCATCCAGCCTGGTCTTGAACACTGCCAGGAAATCCACAGCTTTTCTCAGCAACCTGTTCCAGTGCCTCACCACTGATACAGTGAAGAATTTCTTCCTTATGTCTAATGTAAACGTTTCCCCTTTCAGTTTAAAGCCATTCTCGCTTGTCCTGTCGCTCCGTGCCCTTGCAACAAGTCCCTCTCCAGATCTCTTGTAGCCCCTTTATGTACTAGAAGGTGCTCTAAGGTCTTTCCAGAGCCTTCACCTGTCTGGGTTGAACAGTCCCAAGTCTCTCAGCCTGTTGTCACAGAAAAGACACTGCAGCCCTCCAAGCACATTCGTGGCCTCCTCTGGACTCCCTCCAACAGGTTCAGGTCCTTCTTACATTGGAGGTCCCCAAACAGGATGCAGCACTCCAGGTGAGGTCTTGAGAGCTGAGTAGAGGGGCAGAATCCCCTCCCTTGACCTGCTGCCCACGCAGCTCTGGATACAGCCCATGACACAACTGGATTTCTGGGCTGCAAGAGCACATTGCCAAGTCACACTGAGCTTTTCATCCACCTGCACCCCAAAGTCCTTCTCCTCAAGGTTGCCCTACTCTCCACTCAGCCTTATTTGTGCTTGGAATTGCTACAACCCATGTGTAGGACCTTGCCCTTGGCATTTTTGAACTTCCTGAGGTTCTCGTAGGCCCATCTCTCAAGCCTCTTGGGATCCATCTGGATGGCATCCCTGCTCTCCAGGGTGTCAACCACACCACACAGCTTGGTGTCATTGGCAAACTTGCCAAGAGTGCCCTCAA